AAGGGTTTTTAATATGGACTGAATTGGTCCATGCAATGGGCCATCAAACCCTTGGACTCAAATCAATTTTGGGTCACTGTTTAAGTGACCCAAGGGGTTGTGATTAGACCTCGAAGAACTATAGGTTCAACCCAACAAGATTGGACCAAAACTACGTTATATCAGCCTAGGGTTTGGTATCCAAAACATGCATCAATTCACATAGGTAATGTTATGAAATTCTCAGTTATGATTCACAATTAATATCAACAAATAAACATTAGATAATCATAAATAAATGGCTAGGGCTGATAGTGTGGTCCAAATCCAATCCGGACAAAAACTCCATCCCTACGAAACTGCAATCTATAGATCAATCTCCATCTGCAATCTCTATCATCTCTACAAGCTCCAATGATTTCTCTGATGTAAAAAAAAAAAACCTAATTTCTATTGCTTACATAAAAAAACCTAATACATTCTTTATAGAAAAGAAAAATAATTAATTACAGACCAAATAATAAAATTAATTAATTTGGTGTGCACCGACCTTGCCACCATCAAGAGTTCGATTTCTTTCACACTTTTAGCCCAAGATTTGAAGAAACAATAATAGAACAATTATACAATATATCAGAATATATCTATAAAAATTTCAAATCATTGGCCCACTCTAAGAACCGAATTCCTAGAGTTTTCTACTAACTACTCAAATTGACTAGACTAATTCTTATCGATTTGTGTTTTGGTTCAAATCTAGTTTGGTTCAGTCCAAAAGCAGAACCTAGTGCTATGATACGACTGTTTGAAGTGTTATGATCCATCATATGGATGCTTAACCATGCTAGATGGTTGGGCGAAATTTCAAAAATTTCCTAATCCTTCTAGGAATTGAATTCCCTATGTTTTGATTATTGCATTTTTCAGGATCGGTCTTGCTCTAAACCGGACCAGATTTGAAACCCATCAAAGAGGGAGATTTATACCTGATATGGATACCACAAATATAGATCCCAGGGTGGAAGTTAGGAAAAACTTATCTATATCAATCCTAGACACCTGAGGTCGAACTAGAAAAAACTAGGAGACAAAAGGGTGTGGAGAGAACTAGAAACTACAAAAATATGAAGTTGTCTGGATTAATTAGAAATATACCTTATCTTCTTATAATATTATGTGCTCCATACCCAGATCCAAACACAGATTCATCCCATGTCACATGACAACTTAAGATGCCATGTAATAGCATAATTAATCATATTAATTATGGGCCTTATGCCCATCAGCTATAAGGCTCACGACCCAAGGGTGTTGCATGGCCAACTTAGGCTTGATTTGTATGGCATGGGACCCCATGATGATCTCACATAAGTCCACATGGGTTTGGCCCACCCCTTGTGAAAAGGCTTGCCAAATTCATTGCTAAACGTAATGAACCCTTGAGCACATCACTATGGGTTCAATATGAGCCCAACATTTACACTTAAATGATCATTGAATTCATATATCCTATGAAGACCCAAGGATAATGGGCTTAAGTAAAATAAATCCCATAAGGTAATCAGCCCTTAATGGTCTCTTACACTTAACCTCTTGGCCCATAATGATGAAACACTACTTGACAGGGAAGGACCTCTCCCCCGGCTGCAAGGTACAGTGTCACACTCTTTGCTTAGATGGATCCCGGGAATTAAAACCTTTTGCAAACATTTTTCATAAAACATAATATATATATCATATAAATATATTTTGTAAAACTAAATGTCAAACACAGTTGATATTCACTACCGACACTTTAGGTTTCCATCAAAAAGAGTGTAAGCCCTATTATTCACTTTGTTCGACATAGGGGTCGATCCTATCACTATGATCACCCACTCAAGTGAACTTCAGATTGTCCCAACATACCTAAGTTTTGACCCTTAATGGATCTCACTAATTGGCATATCAAAGATAGCCCAATTCAATACTTAGAACAGTACCATAATCAAGTATAGGGGTTATGTGTAACTTCCAGTTTTGCCCATCAATCTCCAAGGTCTAGGGCATAACTAGAAAATGGTTCGGGTTCAGTGTTTCAACCAAACACACACTGCATGTGCTTTGGTTCTAACCCTAGCAGCTGATACAAACTGCCCCAACTTCTTTGGCAGTACATCGATATCAGCATTGGCAGGATAAACTCCCCAAGTCTATCTAATGACTGAGAGCACTGTAAACTAACATGAGTCTCATAAGTGTCCAATTTAAGAGGTAGTTTCACAATAAATGTATATCAACATGAAACAATAGTGTACTATTATTCATTTATAATAAATGTATTTATACATCAATATGATTGGAGATAAGAGCATACATTGTCTAACATCATAAGTGTGATATTGGTTATTAAGATTCTATTAAATTTTAATTTTTTGCTACATAAAGATTTACAAGATACCACTAGAATCTTTCATGATCATCAATGTGTATGATTATTTTGTTTTTTAAAATCAAAAGCAAATCTATACTCAAAGATCTCTAAGGTTCTTTAAATTTACCCAAAAATGTCTATTTTCTATTGTCCTACTTTTTTTGGGTAAAGCTCTTGTCCTACTTACTAAATATTATTATCCTCATGGTATCAAAATAGTATAAAATGCCTTTGTGTTTGTACATAATGTGTTAAAATAGCAATTCCATTTTTTAAACCCTAAACTTTAATCACATAAATTCAGAATAAGTACTAATAATTCAGAATAAAGGGTTCCTAAGCAATCCTAATGAAGGGGATGCTATTTCTAGATTTTATTAATAATTTAAAATGAAGTCAACCAAGAAGGAGAGACATAAATTCCTTACCCCTTGAAAACATCAAGTTATAAGGAGATCATCCCCTATATAATGCCTTGAACAATTGGATAGGCTTGAAGGTGGTTAGTGGGTTAGCTAAATTGGGTGAGTAAAAGTATGACAACTTAAGTGGGACATGATGCCAGTGACTAGACTTGTTATTTCGCAGGGTAGCCTGGTGGGTTGGCCCGACCTGACATGTTCTTGGTTGGGATTTGATAGCTAGGATTTTAGGTCCGCATGTTTGGGCTTGGGCACAAAACAGTAGGCCTGACCTTTTTCTAGGCCGGGTTCAGACCTTTCAAATGTTTTATATGATATCAAACATATTTTATATAATAAAAAATATATAATACATATGTTTTTCTTTGTTCCTCTTTTCTTTTCTCAAGCCATAATGAGTTCTTTCACTATTTGGGTTTTGAGGTAGTTTAATATAAATATATTAGTTTTATTATCAAGTAAGGATAAAAAAAATCTTCTTGCCCAATTTTTTAGTTGGGCTTTAGGCCTAGGTTTAGGGTCCAAACTTTATATGAGGGCCAGGTTCAGACTCAAGATCTAGGCCTGATGGTCGAGAAGCAAAGCTTGGTCCAACCCGTGAACATGTTTATTAGTGATGTGTAGAGATTAGGGATTACTTTGATTTTCTTATTTTAATAATAGTTCAATTGTATGCAAAGCATGTCTATAGTACTAGTGTTAGTATATGGATGAGTTTAGTGCTATCATCGGAAGATGTTCCCAATACACAGTAGGGATGTGCTGTGGGACGTTGTGGGGCGGAGATATGAATTCCCCATTTGTAGGGGGTTAGTTTAGAGAATCATGGGAAGTTGGAAGTCAATATGAGTCTATGTGAAAGTGAAGAATAATAGAGGTAATTTTAATTCTTATCTTTATCAATTGGACTGCATCACATGTGTGTCTCTATTAGTAAAGCATGTCTATAGTAGTAGTGTGTCTTTTTTTTTTTTTTTTTGGTATTTGGTGCAATGTATCATTAATAACTTCCCCTCGACACCTTTTTCCCCAAAGTGTTGGTTGTGGGATTTGATTCTGCATTGACGTTGGAACAAACCAGCTAATACACCAATGAGCCAGCCCTTGGTTGGTGTAGTAGTGTGTCCGTCGTTGGATGAATTTAGTGCCCTATTTGTAGGAGGTCAATTAGTTAAGAGAATCATTAGGAGTCAATATTATAAGGATCATTTTGAAAATTATAAATTCAAGAATTTTATACTTGAATCGTTAAATTTTATATTGTAGGTTTATTGTCTCCCTCAAGCTCCAAGTAGATCAAAATTGTTATTTTTTTTTATGAGTAAAGACCAAATTTCTACTACTAGGAACATAATAGACATAGAACTAATGAAATTTAGGCAATTCATTGAATAGCCAAGAGAGAAAGAGAGAATTAGTGGCATGATTAATTAGAACTGATTGGAGGAGTTAATGAAAAAGAGAAGGAGAGATAATTAATGGTGAGTCAAGGTTTTTAAAATCGAACTAGGCAATGAATCGGTTAGGGGTCCGGTTCCCAGGTCAAATGGTCCGAACAAACGGATGGCCCGTTATGACAAAATTAAAAAAACATTTAAAAAATAAAACCGGCCAAACTGTTTGAATGATTCGAATCGTTCGAACGGTTCGATCACCCGAGTCAGCGGTTTGCTGACCAAATCAACGATTTTTGGGGAAATAACGGTTATGGGGTAAAACGGATGACTGGTTCATGGTTTTCTGGTTCGACCTTCCGGTTTGGTTTTGAAAACCATGTGGTGAGTTAACGATCGTGCGAATTAAAAAATAAAAAAAATCATTGATAGTGTCATTATGACATGGAGTAAAAAAACTCAAAAAAGTAGACATTTCCGAGATCAAATAAGCCCCCCACAATGTCTCACAACATATCTCCACTTTGTATTGTATATTTGGATCTTTCGATGATGACATCATCATTTCTAATATTATTATGGGAGATATTCTCAATACATGGCGGAGATGTGCTGTGGGGCTGACATTTCCTTGCTATATACAGATATTTTATTTTTCTTATTTTTCAATTTCAATATTATTCAGAGGAGGCAAGAAAAATTTGGCTGTCTATGTTCGACAACCTGTGCTGTCCAAAGGTTTCTCCCAACGTGACACGTTAGTTTATTTTTAAGGCAGGGATTGTTTTCTGTAAGGTACGAAATGGATTTCTTTTCCCTCGCTTTTTTTCGGGGAAAAAATATCCCCTCCACACCAACACCGTGAACTTTGAAGCAACAATGGCGAAAATCGCTTGCCAGCACCTTATTCCCATTTTGGGTTCCCCTCTAAAGTATTCTTTCTGCAAAACCCACTTTCTACAATTGCGGAATTCCACAGGAAATGCTAATCTCATCGACAGACCTGTCTTTAGGAGGCGATTCTCTTCTTCATCAACGATAAGCATGAGCTTGAAAGCTGGCATCGTAGGACTTCCCAACGTCGGGAAATCTACTCTCTTTAATGCTGTCGTAAGCACCTTTTTCCCATCTCTCCTATCTCCTCGTTTCGAATTTCATCTAATTACAGGGATTATTGCATTCCCTTCTGGTTTGTTTCAGTGAGGCTTGCTGGATAGAAATGCTGTTTGAGTTATTTCTCAAGAAATTAAAGAAGTTTTGTTCATATCCAATCCCAAATAAAAAAAGAAGAAATACAAAGTACCCATTTAGATTTTCTGATTGAAATTGATAGGACAGAAATTGATAGTTTACGGTTCTGAAGTTGTATGTCTGCTGCCATTAGTTTGTATTAAGTTTGTGCCTAGATTCAATACCATTTCCTCTTTCTAACACACACACACACGCACAGTCATTTCGTAAAGTGGTTGTTTTACCTATTTCTTTCATGTATTAATTACCCATGAAAATAATTAAATGTTGTGCTTGTTCGTCATTGAATTAGTTCACTGTTAGACGCGTCTGTTAGGGCAGCATAAATAACATTCCTTGTTCAGTAATTCTAAAATGACTGATTTATAATACGATGCAGGTTGAGAACGGAAAAGCTCAAGCTGCTAATTTTCCTTTTTGCACCATAGAGCCCAATGTTGGGATTGTTGCAGTTCCAGATCCACGTCTGCAAGTGCTTTCTGATCTCAGCAAATCTCAACGTATTGTCCCTGCTTCTATTGAATTTGTAGATATTGCTGGGCTTGTAAAAGGAGCCAGTCACGGGGAGGTGACAACTTTTTATTGGGTTCTTAATTTTCTGTGGAATTTCCTGGTTTGGAAGTTTAGTTTTGCATTTTTCTGGTTAATCACTTTATTCTTTCCACTTTTTTGAGGTATTTCCTTTTTTCCATTACAGGGGTTGGGGAATAAATTCCTCTCGCATATTCGTGAGGTTGACTCAATACTTCAGGTTTGCATATCTTTTTATACATAGGCACTCCCAAGCAGCTACCTTGTTGGTGAATCCTGTAGTTGAAATTTTAGATTAGGAACTCCAACGAACAGGGTTTGTCTCATGCCCAACCACAATGGGCAACGATGACTTGCCTCGTCACAGTAGGCCATTGTTTTCTTCTAGGAAGAAGAGAAGAAAGGAAGAAGAAGAGAGAAGAAGGAAGAGAAGAAGAGAAGAGAAAAGGAGAAGATAAAAGATGAGGAATTACAAGCTTGCCCCTGGCGGCACACCCTAATAAAACAATAATAAAAAGCAGTAAACAATCTGACCACACTCTTAAGATTGACAACATAAACTATAACAACAGAAACAATTAACATATCTATCATGCCCAACTTGTCACATAACTCATTATGTCACAAGTATAGAAGTCCCTTTGTGAGAACATCAGCCAGCTGCTCCTTGGAGTTAACATAAGGAGTGCAGATTTCACCCTTTTCTAATTTCTCTCTTCTGAAGTGCTTGTCCACTTCAATGTGTTTTGTCCTATCGTGTAGGACAGGATTAGTAGCAATGTTTATGGCTACCTTATTATCATAATAGAGAGACATGGGGCTATTAACTGGGAACCCAAGCTCTCCCAGTAAATTCTTCAACCAAAGTGCTTCAGCCACCCCATGTGCCATAGCCCTATACTCAGCTTCAGCACTAGATCTTACAACCACATTTTGTTTTTCACTCCTCCACGTCACTAGATTTTCTCCCACAAAAGTGCAGTACCCACATGTAGATTTCTTGTCATCCACAACATCTACCCAATCGGCATTTGTATAGACTTCCACTTTTAGATGGTTGTGCTTATGAAATAGCAAGCCGGTTCTTGGATACTTCTTTAGGTACCTAAGAATTCTTTCTGCAGTCTCCATATGTGGTGTCTCAGGAGAATACATAAACCGACTTAGAACACCAACCGGATAAGCTATGTCCGGGCGTGTTATGGACAAGTAAAGCAATCTTCCCACTAGTCCTTGAAATTGCTTCACATCCCTTAGAACTTCACCATCATAATCACCCAATTTATGATCAACATCCATAGGGGTGTCTGTTGGTTTTGCACCTAGCTTGCCTATGTCTTGTAGCAGATCTAGGATGTACTTCCTTTAAGAGATGAAGATACCCCTTTTTGAGAAGACAACCTCAATCCCAAGAAAGTACTTTAGGGGACCCAAATCTTTCACCTCAAATTGGGAGGCCAAGAACTCCTTCAACATTTGTATTTCAGAGCTCTAGTTCCTTGTAATGATGATATCATCCACATATACTATCAACACAACAACTTGTTCCTAACACCTTTTAACAAAGAGAGTGCGATCAAATTGACATTGTTTCAATCCTACCTGTTGAACTGTCATATGAAATCTGTTGAACTGTGCTCTAGGAGATTGTTTTAGGCCATAGAGAGACTTTCTCAACTTGCACACCTTATTCTCATTTCCTTTTGCACAGAAGCCTGGTGGTTGGACCATATAAACCTCCTCCTCCAAATCACCATCTAAGAAAGCATTTTTTACATCAAGTTGATCCAATTCCCAGTCAAGGTTTGCAACCAATGATAACAAAACTCGAATTGAATTCATCTTTGCTATAGGGGCAAATGTCTCATCATAATCAATGCCATAAACCTCTACTACCTTTGCTTTGTATCTTTCTACTGTTCCATCAGCCTTGTGTTTTATTGTAAAAACACCCACTTGCACCCCACAGGGTCTTTCCTTTTTGGAAGATCCTCTAACTCCCAAGTGTGATTCTTAGTGGGTAATGGGGTGTTTGGTAGTACATGATCTGACTCCCTTTCTGTGAGCAATCGGGATGTCAAGATCATCCACAATCGAAATGGGAATAGGGGAATCAATAGGGATAAGGGTGCCCAACACATTTGGACTTACCTCCCGGGAGTCTAATGGCGTCGGTTACATAGAATCTGGTAGCTCTACATCTTTAGGACACTGTTGGTCTCTATGATGTGTATACAGAAAGACCCAAAATGGAGCTGGATCTGGAAAAGAGGGAAGAGAGACTTGGCGAACCTACTTTTCCTCCTCTGTACTACTCTCCCCCTGAGGAGAAGCAGGGTAGAATGGTTTAGACTTGAAGAAAGAAACATCCATAGACACTGTTGGTTTCTACGATGTGTATACAGAAAGACCCAAAATGGAGCTGGATCTGGAATAGAGGGAAGAGAGACTTGGCGAACCTACTTTTCCTCCTCTGTACTACTCTCCCCCTGAGGAGAAGCAGGGTAGAATGGTTTAGACTTGAAGAAAGAAACATCCATAGAAACTGTTGGTTTCTACGATGTGTATACAGAAAGACCCAAAATGGAGCTGGATCTGGAATAGAGGGAAGTGAGACTTGGCGAACCTACTTTTCCTCCTCTGTACTACTTTCCCCCTGAGGAGAAGCAAGGTAGAATAGTTTAGACTTGAAGAAAGAAACATCCATAGAGACAAAGTACTTATGACCAACAGGATCAAAACACCAGTACCCTTTTTGAGAGGAGGGGTACCCAAGGAAGATACACGGAATAGATTGAGAGTCCAATTTCCCATGAGAAGGAGACAAATCATGGACAAAGGCATGACAACCAAACACTCTCATAGGGATGAAAAACAGAGGGGACTGAGGAAACAACAATTGATGGGGGGACTTGTAGTTCAATACTCTAGAGGGCATGTGATTGATGACATATGCAAGCAAGAACAACATCTACCCAGAAACGTTTTTCCACATTCATATGCAACATCATGCCTCGTGCTACTTCAAGAAGGTGTCTATTCTTTCTTTTAGCAACACCATTTTGTAGCATTTTGTTGTGGTGTTCTTGGAACTCCTGTGAAGGGTTCCATGGGTTTCTTGCACAGCAACACCAACTAGGGTTTCCTTGGTGTTACGGCCAAGAAAGAACCCAAAGAAATCACAGTTTGAGATTTCTGACTAGTTTGATTTGGTTCTTGGCTTCTCGCGCTTCACAGTTCAAGAAAAAAGTAATCTGATGAGAAGAGATGAATTCTGAGAGAGAAGAGTCCTCCTATTGCCTAGAAGTATGCTCTGATACCATGTTTTCTTCTAGGAAGAAGAGAAGGAAGAGAAGAAGAAGAGAGAAGGAAGAGAAGAAGAAGAGAAGAGGAAGAGAGAACAACTGTTTGGGAGCCAAAAACTTAGGCTGGCGACGCTTAACCTTCTATTTATATTAATAAGATGAAAAATAAAAGATGAGGAATTACAAGCTTGCCCCTGGTGGCACACCCTAATAAAACAATAATAAAAAAAAGCAGTAAACAAGCTTACAACACTCTAAGACTGATATCATAAACTATAACAGCAGAAACAATTAACAAAATTCAAACAACAGCCATGTCACCAAGACATTTCATTATCCTAAGAACTTAAGAACCTTATTCCTAACATGTGACTGTGAGCAAGCTTGAAAAGTCCATAGCCAAAGACACACCATGTGAGAATCTTAAGTAAAAGGGGAATCCTAATCCCAAAAGATCCTCATTGGACACGTGGGAAAACCCTAGTAAGGCTTACCTTCTAAGCACCAGAGAATTGTGATCCACTTTCCTAACGAGAAAAGTCTTTATTTATATGTTTCTCATTATAGCTTTGGTAGCCTCTCTATAAAAGGGAGAGATTGAAGGTCTTTGCATGAGATCAGTCTCAAGAGTCCCTTGCCCTTCTAGCCTTCTAACTCCTTCCCTCCCGCTACACTGCAATTCCCTTTCCTCCGATGCCCCCCTTACACCCTCCTTCATATACATCCCTGGTCATCCTTTGTCTTTCAAGGAGACTATCCCTTGCTGCCTGACCACCCTGCTCACATTAGAATCTCTGGTTTAACTTGATCATGGAGATGGCCGCCAAAAGAATCGACCTTTCCCTTGGTCGAGAGGAAGAGCCTATTGACAATGAAGGATTTACCCAAAACATGGGAACTGAAGTGCCTATTCCCCTAGAATCGAACAACCACGCAGACATAGAATTTGTGTCCCACAAAGTCTATGACTTTGAGGAGCACTTCGTTTGCATGGAACAGATGCAAGCCAAGATGAGACACACACTACAGTTGCTCTTGCAATGTACAGCCGCACCGGAGAACCCTTATTTCCCCCAGTCGGTCCATCCACTTAGCCCTCCGTCCATCCTAGGACCACTGAACTAGAACCCCATGACCTTCTTCAGCAAAATACACGGGTCAACCCTACCCACGGGAAACACTGCCCGGACACTCCATCCCTCCGGCTCTTCCATTCCACCCCATTGGTCATGACTGAGAATGCTACCCCTCCTGAAGCACCTATAAGCCGCACAGAACTGCGATAGCATTTGGCGGCCATCTCCATGTGGTCATTGTTTTTGTTTGATATGGTGGCATGAAAGTAAATAATTTGATATTTGGTGATAAATATAAAAGGGGAAAAGTATAATAATGATTACTTTTGTTTCATATGGGGTGTTTTTATTAGTGGGTTTCTGTTCAAGCCTAGCTGAGCTCCAACATGAGTTTTTGAGCCAAGCCAAATTTGAGCTATAGCATTTCTAGCTCGAATCGAGTTTGAGCTCAAACTTGAGCCCTATTGTTTTCTGCTGAGACGAATTCAGCTCGGCTCAGCTCAAATCCATATAGTACTTCCCTTCTATCTCTATTCACTCTAACATTCTTAAAGGGTAAAACACACTTGAGGAGATCGCTCTCTTGGTGTGTTACAATTACAACCCTTAGTTCTTTTATGCAAATTTTTCCTAATCATTGCTGTGTTAGGAACATTTTTTTTTTCCTTTTTTTTTAGTTTTTAGATCCCTATATGCTTAAGAATATCACAAAAAATTAGGAGAAAAGACAATCCATTTGTGAGATGTATCTGTTTCACTTAAAATGTTCAGAGTGAACATATTTTAATCTCAATTTTTTGTTTTAATGACTCAAATGTTACAGCTAAATTGATGTTATGATAATGTTTGCCCCCAGTGATCAAAGGTCCTGGATCTGCCACTGTTTGGGGGATTAGAAGATGGGTAATGACTAAAGAGACCTTATTCAACTATTTATACTTAATGTAACTGGAGAAAACATTATAAAAGTACCTCCTAGTTATATCTTAACATTACTACAAGTCCCATTTGCATACCGGCATGCCATTTTCATTAATGAACTTTGTAGTCAAAGCTATGTTTTCAGACCTTTATTCTTTTTGTTACCTGTCCGTTTGATAGTATTGATTCATAGATGTCAAGACAATTATATGATGTTTCAGGTAGTGCGCTGTTTTGAGGATAATGACATTGTTCATGTAAATGGAAAAGTTGATCCAAAGTCCGATATTGATATCATCAACTTAGAGCTAATTTTCTCAGATTTGGATCAGGTTATAACTTTCATTGCACAACCATAGTTAATTTCTTCCATAAAATCTATTTGCACAACCATAATTTCTTCCATAAAATAATATAAGATTGTCTACCTACTGAATGGCTCCTGAGAGAGCAGGTTCTAACTTCAGATGATTTAAACGTACTCCCTAGTGAACACTACCTGCAATAACATTGCTACTCCACATATCTACTATATTGTCACCAACTTATGTTATAACACTATCTCTTGCACTCCACTAGTGCTAGTAGTGTTCACTAGGGAACATGTTGATTCCAGTAAAATTTTGTGATGGAAATGGAAATATGTTGTGGAAATATTAGGAAATTTATAGACATTTTAAACCACTATCCTTCCAGTAGTATTTTCTCTGGTCATTTATTCAAAAATTTTAGACAAAAAAACTCAGTTTATCAAATGACTGAGTTCACCACATGTCAGTGGTGAAATGGCATTGTAATTTATGCATTGAAAAATTACATTCCTTTTATATTAATGGATGCTTTGCATCTTTTTTATTTTTTCATCTTGGACATATTTCAAATATCTCCTTAGTGTTAAAATGAAAAAGAAGTTAATGCTAATCCCTTCTATTGATTTTGTGCTTAGATAAAACCTTCTTGGATAGTTAACTGATCTAATTTAAATCTCTTATAAGAAATGCAGATTGAGAAAAGAATAGAGAAACTAAAAAAGGGCAAAGCAAAAGATTCACAATCAAAATTGAAGGTAAAGTCTTCATCATTGCATTCAAGATACTCTGTAGGCAGCATGTAATCATTTTTTCCTTGGTTTATACATATTCAAGTGCTAGAATTAAAGAGCTTCTTAGATTTGAGTGCAATCTTCCATAATTTTCAGGAGGAAGCAGAAAAATCTGCTTTGGAACAAATTAGGCAGGCACTTATGGATGGAAAACCGGCACGTGCAGTAACTCTAACAGATTTTGAAAAGGAATCCATAAAGAATCTTTGTTTACTCTCAATGAAACCAGTCATATATGTAGCTAATGTAGCAGAATCTGATCTTGCTGAACCTAATGATAATCCTCATGTCAAAGAAGTGACAAAGCTTGCATCTGACTTACAATCTGGACTAGTAACAATCTCAGCACAGGTATGACATATTTGGAATTCTCATCTCTTGGTTCTTAATTAGGAGCATTGTCAAATGCATCCTCAATATTTGTGATATACCCCTGGTATTTGCTCCTTTTTACAGTATATGATCTTTGTGATCCCATCATAAATTGAAACATCCACCCAGAAAGTAGAAAATAATTTGAAAACTAAACAATGGCCAGACATCTTCACAAGAAGGGACATGTAGAAGAGTAAGCTTTTATGTTTATATTTGTTGGGTATTAGTGGGCTGTTATGTTTCTTTGTTGGGCCTGTTACTTATAAGACATTTTAACTGCTGTCTCTTAAGCAGGGGCAGCCTTGTAATTCTGCCTTTTATTGTATAAAGTATATGAGATGGGGTCTCCATTGAGTCCTGCGATCTCTTCTTCCCAATCTCTCTTCTTTTCTCTCTTATCCTCTTCTCTACAGTTTTCTACTTAGTTTTCAGTGTTGCAACTACTTCTTTTCTGATTCAAATACATAAAAACTATCAAGACTGAAGTGTTCTTGGATTGACAACTTCATGTTTGCCCTGTTAAGGCTGTTTGGGGGGGGGGGTCCTATTCCTAAAATCAAATCTTTTTGCTGGGAGGTGGTGCATGGAAGGATCAATACTTGTATCTTGCAAAAGAGAAGGCTGAACTGTTGTATCTCTCCTAGCATTTGTTTTCTGTGCAGGGATAGTAGTGAGAATGCTTGACAATGCTTCGCACTTGCAATTCTCCCTTTCCTGTGTTGATGCCATTTGGGATGATTTCTTCTCTCTTTTTGGTTGCAGGTGGTATCCCTCTTCAGATGTAATTTTTTTTTGGTTCAGCTCCTCTTTTTTCTCGCTTCTTAAGAAGAGGGGTTAGAGATAGGTGAATTTTTGAAGATAAAGTCTAGCTAAAGAGGTCTTAATTGAAACCATTATGATTAGAGTCGGGTATAAGTGTTGAACATATTTGAGTTGGTTTCCTATGATGACATTGAAAGAAATTGGCAAATCATTGCTGGCTCTTATATGGCAAGATCAAAAGAGTGTATTCCTTGGAAGTCTCCACAGTTCCCACACCTGAACCTGAACTTTGATGGCAATCCAGGAAATTCAGGGGTAGGAGTTTTTAGGCACTGTGATGGATCTATAGTAGCCCTTTGTTCGGGGCCCATTGGGTTTGGAAACTCTACAAGCGCTGAACTCTTGGCAGAGTTACAAGGCCTGTTGTAAGGGAGCTTAAATTTCAGAAACATCATGGTGGAAGGGGATTCTAAAGTAGTAGTGGGGTGGTTGAAGAAAAATGCCATGGGAACTTGGACATACAGATAGATAATAGTGGGGATTCTAAAGTAGTAGTGGAAGGGGATTCTAAGAGAAGTCAGGGCACTAGCGTCAGAGTTGAATGCTACTTTCATTGGATTCCAAGGGGTGGCAACAGGTTAGCTAGACAAGGGGTAAACAGGGAAGACTTGTATTGGGTAGAGATCCATGGGGAATCTTATGTTTATTGTCTTTAGGATCTTCCTGTCATTAGGAATTGATTCAAACTCTTTAGCTACTGCATCTTCTGCCTCAATAAACTGCCCAACTCTAGCTGAATCAGAAAAAAAGTTCAAAACTCAGTAATATATCTCCAAAATATTGCTGATGTTTGTCTTGATTACTCATTACAATTACAAATATTAGAGGATGTCTAGGAAAATGTTGCTGTATTGAGATTTTTATTGAAAATCTTCTTTAAGATAAATCCCAAATCAGAAATTTCTTTTCTATTCTTTTTTCTTGTTTTTCTTGTTAAGCTCTAGAGCAAGTATCAACTACTCCACTCTGATACTATTTTGGTTAAATGATTATATTTTATCTAAAAATTGATTGAATTATTTACTTCATCATAAAATATTAAAATGTGTTATTTTGCGGTTTACCCATTTTATATTCTTATTACAAAAAGGTAATTATGTCAGTTATCTAAGTACTAAAAAAACTATTGACCCTCTGAAAATGTCAATCATATTTCAACCTCTTTAATAAGATGGCTAGCAATGGGTCTGGACATGCCAGAATTGAGCAGGAAGTGGGTCATAGAAGGAACTTGAAGATGGATGATCAGAAGAGAAGATATTCAGTTAGATTAAAACTTTCTTTGGAGACTGTTGTGGAACTTGAAGACCAAGTGGTCATGTATCTTGGGCTTTCGTTTTTTTACTTATTTATTTATTTTTTGGGGGAGTGGTTTAATTGAAGAGACATAAGAAGAGGATAGGATGAGGCATGAAAAGGAGGCTGAAGCTTATCAGAATTAGGGAAGCTGAGGCAAGTATGCAATCTTCTAGCATGGAACATGAACATGGCAAAGCCTAGTTGAGAAACTAGCCAGAGGAAAGCAGGAATGCGGCTTGTGATGTTTTGGACCATAGTATTGATAGAAGTAGAGGCAATAGCTAGTTTGATAGAGGAATTCTGAAGAGTTTAAGGAGTAGGGGAAGAGGTGGTAATGTGAAAAAGGTGATTGATCTGAGCGTTGGTAGAAGGGTCTGTTTGTCAGGGATGTGGCTTGGGTTTAGGATATGGGGAGAGATTCAAGAAAAATTGGTGTCCTACTACAAGAGGTTGTATATGGGGAGAAATTGGACCTGGGTGTCAATGGGAGATTTAGAGCCAAGTCAGCTAAGTGGCAGCTCAGCAGTCTGGTTAGAAAGGGCCGTTGAAGTAGCAGAGGTAAAGGAGGCATTGAAGAAGATAAATGGTGACAAAGCACCAAGTCCAGATGGATTCAACTTCCAACTTCATTAAAAGCTGCTGGTACTTCTTACAAGAGGACTTGGTGCAGATGTATAAAGAGTTCTGGGAAACTAAAAGCTTAGATAGAGGAGTAAATGTAACAAGCAGGCTGAAGAGAGTGATCAAGGAGGTGGTGAGGGAACCTCAGATGGAATTTGTAGAAGGAAGGCAAATTCTGGATGGGATTTTGGTGGCTAGTGAATGCATTGACTCAAGAATTAGAAGTGGAAGACCAGGTCTGGTTTGTAAGTTGGACATAGAGAAGGCGTATGACCATGTGGAATGGGGATTTCTGGAGGAGATGCAAAGGTTGATGGGGTTTGGGGAGATTTGGAGGGGCTGGATGTATGGGTGTATTTCATCAGCTTCTTTTTCTTTGCTCATCAATGGGGTATCATCTGAGTTCTTCCAAGCCTCTAGGGGTTTTAGACAAGGGGATCCAATCTCCCCTTTGCTGTTTTTTAGTGATGGAAGCTCTAAATCTGATCATGAAGAAAGGAGCTCAGAGGGGTTGGATTGAAGGCTTTAAGGTTGGACCCGAGGGACCTTGTATGTCTCACCTTCAGTATGCTGATGACACCTTAATCTTCTTAGATGCTTCAGTGAACCAAGTCCTGAACCTCTCAGAGCGATCCTAACTAACTTCTTAGATGCTTCAGTGAACCAAGTCCTGAACCTCTCAGAGCGATCCTAACTAACTTTGAGATGCTGTCTGGACTGAAAGTGAATCTAGAGAAGAGTCTACTGATAGGGGTTGGAGATATAAGTAGGGGGGGAGATGGATCAATTTGCAGGGGTGCTGGAATGCAGAGTAGGGGAGCTTCCTTTTATGTATTTAGGGCTTTCGGTGGGGTCAAAAACAGCAGCAATTAGCATTTGGAGGCCACTATTAGAAAGAGTAGAGAAGAGTTTGGACAGATGGAAGGCTAAGTACCTATCTTTGGGTGGGAGAATCACACTTATAAAGAGTGTCTTGGCTAGTTTCTCAACTTACTACCTGTAAATATATGTAGATCGATACCATGGAATTTATGATAAGAACCATGAACAGTAGCTATGCAAGGGATCCTATTCGCGATGAACACCACAACCAAATGAAGTAAAGTATCTGTGAAAACCATGACAACGATCATTGATCAAGCTATCAGTAAATTTGATGAGCCTTTGCAATAGCACGGGAGCATTCTCTGAGGCAGATATAAGTCGTTCACACCTGCGATGAGCATAAAACATCATCCACAACACACGAAAACCACAGTTAATCTTCTTGCTGATCACAATGAGCTGCGATGACTTGTTCTGAGGCTATTGCCAAGCTGTTTGAACTCGTCGATTGTTCTGAGATTCCACTTATGACATGTGGCCATAGGAAGACCCGAGAGGAAGTAGCGAGTGCGCTCCGTGCATGACCCCTCAAAGAAAAGGAAACCATGTTCTTAAAGGATCTCGCTTAACATGTGGTGAAACCCCAACAGGGTCTATCCAATAACAAATAAAGAGCCGAGATTCCCTTACCCAATGAGAAAAGTCCTCTTTTGGATGTTTCTCTTTATAGTCTCGGGATATCCTCTATTAAAAGAGGAGACACAAATCACACTGTACGAGTCTTTGACCCCAGAATCCTCTGACCGAATTCCCTAGTACTTCCCTAAAGTCTCTTTTCTTCCTCAGTAAGCCAAACTCACCCCCTATACATTTGACCATACCCCAAGGAGACCATCTTCGTCCTTCAAGGAGACCAGCTCTTAACATCACACCATATCCCATCTACATTAGAATCTTTGGTTCATTCCTTGATCACAGGAGATGGCTGCAAGGAGAATCAACCTCTCACCAATCCCCGAGGAATAGCATGCTAACCCTGAGAACCATAATGTGGACTCTAAGGAACAAATTCTTTAAGAGTAAAGTAACCATGTTGACATTGGAATCTTCTCTCACAAAGTTTATGAATTTGAAACCCGGTTAAATCGCTTGGAACAAACGCAAGTTGAGATGAGGGACGCCCTACAATTGCTTCTTCAGTGGACAACCATGCCAGAAAATCCACCCTTCACTCTTCGCTGGCCCATCCACGCTACCCTCTAATCGCTTAGGGGATCCCATGCCTGAGGTACCCAATCTTCATCCACAAGGAGGCGGTTACCCTCCCACAGCTAGCATTGCTCAAAGACCCTAATGCCCTTGTCATTCCTGATCGGATGCCAACAACTATGGTCGGGGAGCGGAGTGTC